AAGTTTTCACTGTACTTTTGCTATTGTCCCTCTATCACTATATATACTTACGGGGTATGTTGGAAGTGTTTATATTCACTATATGTAGCCACAGGTTGGTGGAATGCAAGCAGCCAGATTCAGTCTATCCAATAATAGTAATACCATGTACACAAAGCTTACTACATCCAGCAGCATTTCATATATTCACTCATGTTTAATCTTCACAGCAACCCTATGTGGTAGGGGCAATTCTTGCACCCATTTTATACACGTGGAAACTTGGACTCAACAAGGTTTAAGGGGCCAGGCATAGTGGCTCACCCCTGTAATTCCAGCACTTTGGGAGGCTGAGGTGAGAAGATCACTTGAGGCCAGGAGTTTGAGACCAGCCTGAGCAACATAGTGAAACCTCAACTCTACAAAAAACTTTTTAAAAATTAGCTGGACATGGTGCTGCACACTTGTAGTCTCAGCCACTCAAGAGGCTGAGGCAGGAGGATCACTTGAAGCCAGGAGTTCCAGGTTGCTGTGAGCTATGACTACACCACTGCACTCCAGCCTGGGCAACAAAGCAAGACCCTGTCTCTAAAAAGAAAAGAAAAAAAAAGTCAAGAGATTGGCCCCCATAACATGTCTATGTCTTGAGTTACTCTAAAATTAAAAAGCGAGTGCTCACTTCAGCAGCACATATACTAAAATTAAAAAGAGAGAGGCCAAGCATGGTGGCTCACACCTATAATCCTAGCACTCTGGGGAGGCCAACGTGGATAGATTGATTGAGCTCAGGAGTTCGAGACTAGCCTAAGTAAGAGTGAGAACCCTTCTCTCCTAAAAATAGAAAAACTGGCTTGGCCCCCGTAGCTCAGTGAGTAGGGCACCAGCCACATACACCTAGGCTGGCAGGTTCAAGCCCCACCTGAGCCTGCTAAACAACAATGACAACTGCAATCAAAAAACAGCCAGGCATTGTGGTGGATGTCTATGTCCCTGCTACTCAGGAGGCTAAGGCAAGAGAATTGCTTAAGCCCAAGAGTTTGAGGGTTGCTGTGAGCTGTGACGCCAGACACTACCAAGGGCAACATAGTGAGACTCTGTCTCAAAAAAAAAAAAAAATAGAAAAACTAGCTGGGCATGGGGGCTGGTGCCTGTAGTCCCAGCTACTCAGGAGCCTGAGGCAGGAGGATCACTTGAGCCCAGGAGTTTGAGGTTGAGCTATGACGCTGTGGCACTCTACCCAAGGCAACAGAGTGAAACTGTCTCAAAAAATGAAAAATTAAATGAAACTGAAATGAAATGAAATAAAATAAAAATAAAAAAGAGAGAGAGACCGGCTCAACGTTGCAGAGCAGGTGAGCCAGGAAGAGTGGCATTACTTGGAGCTCTTAAAGATAATAACTGGACACAGATCTGTACTGGGAAAGGTAAGTGCTTCATCAAAAAGGTGCTTTTTTTATCTATCATAGAGATATCTTTGGAGGTGTTCTCAAGAGTGGCAGGATGTGTGAATGCCATCAGGGTAATGCAGCAGAGACACTCTTAGAAGCATACCTTCCTTTGGGTAGCCATCCCTCCCTCAACTCCATAGGATCCATAAGCAACCAATCAGTATCCTATAGGGATGATCATGTGATCCAAGCTCAGCCAATCAGAGCACACAGTGATTAGTTTACGAGTGAGCATTGTGACCCAAGCAGGGCCTTTTCTGGAACTAGACAAGAATTTCAAAGGGGCTTGGTTACTTGGTGAAAGAGGAAGGAAGGAAGGAAGAGGATGTGTGAATTGAAAGGAGGGTACTCACCATGCAGGCCTGAGCCAGGCTCATGGCCAGCCGAAACCGGGCAGACATGGCAAGAGGCAGCAGAGGGCTGAGGCCAGAGCCCACAGCAGGGTTGATCACGCGCAGGCAGCGGACCACAGCCTCTACAACCAGCTCAGTGGTGAAGGCTCGCAAGGTCTGTACGTCTGGAGGAACTTCCCTGAAGAAGAAGGGGCTAGCTTGACATGAGGAGTAGTCAGGAAACAGCGATGAGGCTGAGCCATGCAGCCTTTTGGAAGCACTACCAAGGTTGGAGTAGGGAAGACACCACAATCTTGAGAAAGAGTGTGGGTGTTGGTGACTATGACTTCCATTTGGAAAACTAAAAACTAGTGAAATCCTCAGGTCCTGACACTTTGGTATAGGAGAATGATGGACAGAAGGGACCTGCGTTCAGAAAAATCTCAAATTTCTGGGGTCCGGGAAGGTGAAGGGGCCCAGGTGTCATGGTATCTGTGTTTCTGGGTCCCCAGTTATCAAGTTCTGTGTATATACGAGATCCCTAGATATCGAACTGCTACAGTTTTGAGAACAATAGATTTTGGAAGGCTGGGGCTTTCAGGAGTTCCAAATGTGAGGGTCCCTGAGTGTCAAGATCCTTTGATATCAAGATCTCCTAGTTTTAAGAGCAACACAAAAATCAATATCCCTAAGATGCTGTTGGCAACCTAGGTTTTTAGAGCCCCAGAACAGAGAAGTCTTAAGTGCTGATGTTACAAAATTTTAGGGTCCTGGGGCTTTAAAAGCCCCAGATGTTTGGGAAACTGGAGTTTGAAGGTTCTCAAGCATCCAGTCCTGTGGATTTTGGAGTCCCCGAGTGCCAGGTTCCTGAGTTTAAAGTTCCCTGGTTTTCAGGGTACAGGTGTCTTAAGGTCTCCAGATATCAGGGTCCCAGAGTATCAATGTCATGATCCCCAGATTTCAGGGTCCTGGAACTTGAGGATCCAAGGTCGGAAGGTCTCAGGGTGTGAGTCTCAGAGTTCTGGGCTTACCAAATGTCGGGGTCAAAAGATTTGAGAAGCCCCTGCCGTCGGAGTGCTTGAGTATAAGGGGATGAAGGTCTTAGGGTCCTGGAAGTTGGAGCCCTGAATATAAAGGTCCCAGGTTTTAAGGTTCCCGGGTAACGGGGTCCTGGATTGTGGAGTCCCGGATGTGGACATTTTGGGGTAGACGGGGGCTCTGTCCTTACGTGCCGGCCTGGCGCAGGGAATGGATGAGGATTCGATCCGCTTCCTCCATAGTGGAGCCGTGTCGGAATCTGGAGCTGGGTCCAGGGCCGGGTCGGAGAAAGTGGGGCACAGCGGTTGAAAACCTGCTCCGCGCTCACCGTCCACAGTGTGTCGCGGGTGGTGCTGGGAGAGCTGGGAAGTGTAGTTTTGTGAGCGAGTGAAGCACACCCGGATACCGGTGTGAGAGCACTGAGAGATTGAGCGCTCAGTGGCTACTGGGAGTTGTAGTTCTTCCACTTGCTGACCCTGGACTCTTCCGAGGAGAAAAGGAATGGGGTGGGAGACAGAGAGGCACTAATTGATTTATTCCTTTAAGGTGACATTCTCTTAGAGGCTGTAAAAGTATACAAGTTAAGGGCAGGGTTTTAGCACAAAGCGACTGCTTCCCTGTGTCTTCGTTTCCTCATCTGTAAAATGGAACTACTGGCAGTATTTGCTTCCTGGGATAAAAATAGAATTAATTTATGCAAAGTACATTGTACTATGTGCCAGACACATAATACAGTAAGAAAGCTATATAAATTATAGATCCTCATATTCATACATTGAATAAACGCTGTGATTCGCTATACATATTTATGTGTACACTCCAAAGAATAATTACGCAGCAAATATCTATGTAATCACCAGTTATTGAAAAGCCCAATTTATCTCCACTACTTAGCGTCAATGTTTGTCATAAACCACGTGTACCTTTATGAGACTTAGTTTCGGAACTCCATTCTGTTTTTAATTACCATAGCTTTACAACAAGCTTTGACAGATGCAGCAAATCATCCCATCCTGTTCTTAAACTATTTTGGCTTTTTTCGGGTTTCCTTTGTACGTTGATAAACTTTTGGGAATCAGTTTGTCAAATTCCAGAGAAAATAATCTTTTGAGATTTTGTCTGGGATTGCACTGAATCTCTAAGTCACTTTAGGAAAAAATGACATCTTCACAACATTGAATATTTCAGTCAGTATATATTTATTTACTCTTCTTTGATATTTTATGATATCTAATGATATCTAATCATCTTTTTTCCTTGGAGATATTGTACATATGTTAGATTTTTTCCTACATACTTCAAATTCCAGATACTGTTCGAAAATTACATCATTTTTCTTATTTTAGTTTCTGACTGTTCAGTGCAGGTGTATATCTGGTAAACATTTTATCAATGCCTTTTCTGTTGCCAGGCACTGGGCTACAAACATCCCATTTATGCACCTGTTTACCCTCCCATCTGACTGTGTTATTGCTCCGCCCTGTGACCTTAATCCCTCTAAAGCTGGGGGAAGAGACAGGAGCTGAGTGCAGATGGCCCTTCAATCTCCAAAGGAAGATGTCGGAATCTGAAGGCAAGAAAGGTGAGAGCTGCCTTCCACCCTTATAGACCCTTGGAGTGAGCCTGGGTTCTGCTCCACCCTCAGCCCTTTTGACCCACCCACTACCCATCCAGATCCCACCCCAGAGAGCCTTCTGGGGACCAGAAACACATTGCCTCTCTCCTATCCCGGCCATCCTCAAACATAGCCTCTCCACCACCTAAGTTGTTGATGTTCAGCCTGACCCAGACACTGCCTCTCATGGCCTCCCAGCCCCATCCATGGCCCTTAGTTACAAAAAGAAACCCAACCTCAAACCTAGCCCTGACCCCAATCCTAGTACCTACCCCAACCCTGTGTCCAAAGTCAGCCCTGATCTGAATCTTAACACAAATATTATCAACCAAAAGGCAAATCTCTATTAGAGTCCAAACCTCAACCTGGATACAGACATTACTATGAGCTCTAAAGTCACCTAACCTCAACCTCAACTTTTGAATATCAATTCAAATGTTAATGAATGTGGTCTCTGACTTTTCAGAAAGTTCACAGACCCTATTAAAAAAACAAAACAAAATATACATAGAGAGACAACATACACTTGATTGAGGTAGTAACCTATGAGGGCTATGAAACAAGGCTACCTGGGTTTGACCCCCAGTTCAGCCACTTCGAGTCACTTAACCTTTTTGCCTCAATTTTCTCATCTGCAAAATAGGAATAATACTATATTCCAGGCATTCTTTTGAATACTGAACTCATTTAATGTTCACATCATATACTTTAGGTAGTCTTATCGTCATCCTCATATAGACAAGGAAATTAAGGCTCAAAGAGATTACCTAATTTGCCCAAGGCAACACACAGCTGCCAAGTGGTAGAGTCAGAATTTAAACTTAGCTTGTATCCTCCAAAATTGGGGATCTTAATCAGGCCAACCTATTGCCCCTCCAGGGCTGAAACAAGACCGTGAGAAAGGAAATGCTCTTCACTGAAAATCCCAATTCAAATCCCAACTCCCCCTCAAAACTCAACAACAGCCCTAACATTGATCCCAATT